CATACTGTGTAACTTTTTCCAATTCAGATCGCAGAAGCTCCACAAGGAAACAATTGTACAGCAAAGGGCAGCAGGAAAGCTAACAGCATGGAAGAATTTACATAAGGCATGGCTAAGGATGGTATGAGTAGAGTAGAATAGAGGTCTTCAATCCCCAAAATAGATGACTGAGAACAGTATGCCATTGCTGTCTGTGAAATCATGAAGGATGGATATGATGAATAAGAAATTACTATTGTGTCTTCTAGTGCAAGAAGTAGGGAATATTGAATGAAACTATCTGGCAGCAAATTCAAAACAAAGAAAGGACCTCTGTCACAGGATCTTGTGGAAACTGAAATTTTGTACAAGGTCAAAAACAACTGGAAAAGGTTATCTTATAAGTAAGACATTATCTCTGGCTCAAGAAATCCTTGAACTGCAAATAGCTAGAGGCTGGCAGAACAATTCTGAGGAAGTATCCTGATGTGTTTGCCCTGTTTTCAAGCTTCCTTAGACTTAGGCTGTTGGACACTGTTGCACAGAATTTGGGGCTGTGTGGAGCCTCTAATTCGATATGATGTGACCTTTCCCGAGTGATGTTCTTCTCTCTTCCCTGTTGTAAGCTGTGGAATCACTAAATTAATATTTAAAGTTTGAGATGGTGCCAGTTCAAAGCTATTGGAAGGTACTGAGGTACTCTAAAGGATTCATTTTTCCGTAATTTTAATATTTTTAGCAAGCTTGCTTACTTTACCACTGCTTGATGTATAAGTATATAGTAGGGGAGTAAGTAGCAAGTTGAATTCTTTGTAAAGCATCAATACTGCTCAATGAGGCAGACTATACAAATGGATATTTTTAATGTCTCATAATTTCAGGAGTGTTGAAGAAGACAAAATAATGTTTTTCTAGAATACTGAAAAAATGCTATCAAATGGAATGATTTAGGTAACTGTAGGTCCATGTATATGGTATTGCTCCTGGGAAAAAGGAATGGAAAATGTGATACAGGATTTGGTTATTTAGGATTTAAAGTGCGGAGGCAGGCCTTGCTGGACCTACAAGTTCGTCAAGGACCGGCAGTCAAAAGGACCACCAGACAACAGAGAGGAATGAGCTGAACAGATCTAAGTTGAGGCTACAGGGCTGCAGGTTTTCAGCACACAGTTTCATCTGCCATAACAAAGTTTCTTTCTTTGCAGATACTGCGTTGCCATATCAGACCCCTTCACAAAGCATTGCATTTCTGCTGTAAATGTATGTAAGCCCTATGTAAATGTACGTAAGCTTTTAAGTCAGAGTTCATACTGATAGAGGCCTGAAGGTCTGTCACTGTGCCTTCTCACTTATAAACTGCTTTTGCCTGAACTGGCACTGCCTGTTTATTCCACACCAAAAAAAAAAGGGATATGAATATAACCAATATCAGTCAATTTGGCTTTTTGGAATATGTCTCTTTGGATGTGATAGGAAGTACTGCATAATATTATCTTCATGTATCTACAGTGCAAATGGTTTGATGTGTTTTAGTTCCTTTTTTCTTATTATGGTAATTTTTGGAGGCAGGGGATTATTTAATGAAAGGGTTTGAGAGAGATGCAACTGGCTGTGGTGAATTTTGTATTCATCTGTAACTCAAAGTGAAATGGATGTATTGGGTCAGTGATTTAACTATAGGAGCATAAGTTCTATTTGGTTATATAAGTTCTATCTCTTAATAAAAAGATGGAAGTGTAAAAGTATCTTGTGTTTTACTTGTAACATAATCGTCTTGAGTAGATATGTAAGTGAATGCAGAAAATAGGCCACAAGGTCTGAGTATGTATACCTACAAGTCCGTGCTGCTAGGTGTGTTAGACCCTGAGATTAACTCAGTTGGTAAGAGCATGGTGCTAATAACACCAGGGTTGTGGGTTCAATCCCTGTATGGACCATTCACTTAGGAATTGGACTCAGCGATCCTTATGGGACCCTTACAACTCAGAATATTTGGTGTGGATTTCTATTAGCTGATGACTGCCTTGAAGGGGCAGTTTGCACTTTTGGTTTGTGTCTCATTTGCATGATTTCTAAAAGGTTTATTATACCATATCTTACCACTTTAATATTTCTTACTTGCTGAATTAGTTGGGAAGGGGGTCCTGTTTGTATGTACCACATGTGCCATTTTGCTAAGCAGACATCCTCTCTAGGCAATTGACTGTAGTTATTTTTGTGATGTGATTTATTCATTTCACAAATACAAACAGCTTAGTACAGAGGAAATGAAAAGATATCCTTGTCAGATGCTTAGCGATCCTTGAACAACTGGTGGAAAATTAAATATTGACTTACTGCTTTCAGGTGAGGTGATTTTATGTAATTACACATTTTGGAAAACATTTTTTGATATATTTATTTCTGGTTGCATGGAAGTTTAGGTTTTGGAACTTCATAATGAACTGTTCACTTAGTTAATGCATCTGAATTCTTTGAGGATAAGTAAGAGAAATAATGCACTTAAAAATAGCATTTATCTTGATGACTTAAAATTATTAATGAATACATCTGAAAAAATCTACCCTTTAAAATTATTACATATTTAAAAAAATAATAGTTGTATCCAATTCTTCCTGTAAGAAAGCTTTCGACTTGTTCATAGCCCTCTCATATTTACAACAGAGCTTAAAAAGCCCTAACTGCAACTCTCAGTTCATAAGTTTCTAAATCACTAAGTTTTGAATAAGCCTTTTGAGAGCTTCATTGAATAATCACTTTTTTTTTTTGGTGGGCTTTTTTGTTTGTTTGTTTTAAAGCCGTGATAATATCTTTTACAAAAGAGGGGGCAAAAACTCAAGTTAAAAATTTTCCAGTGTGAGAGCAGTAACTGGAGAATCAAAGGTTGAATTCCAATTCTTATTTTTCTCTGTTTTTTACTTCCAATTCTGAACCAAATTCAGCAGAAACAAAGCTGTCTTCTGAAATCAACTGACAAAAGCTGTATTGCATCTGCTGCTTGTTGCAAATGTTATGGAGTTGTAGTAGTAGGCTTTGATGATTCAAGTTAGGAAATTCTGAACTGGTGTTATTGAAACTTGTCACCATATTGTTTCGGTTTATGTTGTACAGAACCTACTTCTTAACTGATGTTTTTTTTCCTGGTGTGTATGTGAGACAAAGTATCACTGCCTGTAGTATAGGAACCGTGAGGAGACAGGGAGAATTCTTACTGGATCACTTGAATGTGTGAAGTGAGACATAGGAAAAAAATGACTGAGAGATGTTTGATTGACCAATTGGAGCTACTTATAAAAGAGAAGGACAAACTGGGGAAACATAGAGAATGCTGGAAGCTGTCAGCAACAAAATGGCTGAGTTATAGGTGCACTAGCAAAAATTCCATTAATTCTCGTTAGGGACAGCAAATGGGAAAGTGGAAAAGGGTTAGACTAATAGACTTTGCCTGTTTTAAACAGAAGACCTAAGTGTGAGTGTTTAGAGAAATGAGTTTTTCCCCCTTCCATGGCAGTGAAAAGTGTGACCTTGTAGAAGGAATTTCAGATATATAAAGTACTCTACAGTAATATGCATGAGATGACCCCTCTCCTGCAGAGTTTGTTTCACATATCTTGCCTGGTAGGAATTCTGTTATTTTGGGAGTATGTTGTGGACTCCTGATATTATGATGAGCCTTGTCTCATATCAACTTGAGTTTTTTAGTCTCATGGTATTCTATCAGTCTTTGGCAAGTAAGTTTAGTCTTCTATCACTTGGTAGAATTCATAAATTTTTTGCGCATAAATGAAGGGTTCAAAAGAGGTGTTTGTGAATGGCAAATGAGTCTGTCTTTAGCAAGCATCAGGAAGAGAGATTATTTTAGTAAGTTAGCAAAACATAAAAAGGAAAAAAAACAAGAAAAGAACTGCTTGTTACATTAAATAAGAATATCATATAATAAGATGTGCTAAATAGAAATGAGGGAAGTGATACAAAGAGAAGTAGAGGAGATACTAAAAACAGTGCTAGAAGAAGAAATATTGCATCTTAGTAAATAGAAAAAATTGTGCAAAATCGGAAAAAACAGTAGGAGCAAAGATGTAGTTTTTCAAAGCTGCTGTTGCATACAAAATTGATCAGTGTGATACTATAAAATGATATGTTAAATGATATATGACTCTTAATGCTTTTTTAGTTTCAAGGATTGTGGGAGGTTTTTTGTGTGTGAGCAAAGGTACCTTTCTCTATGACCTCTAAGTGTAGTTTTTTGATTAACAGATACAGTGTTTATTTTTCAAGACCTACTAGATGTTAGAATCTCGTTCTAAAATGTTTTGCATGTTATTTCCATATAGAATTCATGTCAATGTGACTTGTTTTGTGAATGCTCCAAATGAGTTAAAAAAATGAGATGACCTGTACCTTCTTTTTTATACTTTAACTGGGGCACTGATGTCCAATCTTCTGATTGAAACTCTGTACACAGTACCTTGGGGTGTATTAACATGGTGCTGTTTCCTTATTGTGCTGTAGTTTACCTTTCATAAATAACTAAGCAACACTTCTAGCTTTATTTAATATCCTTTTATATAAACAAAGATTCATTATTCTGTAATGAAAGATAGCCTTTTACATCTGCTGCTGTGGTGCAAAACATTGTTTGCTTTTCTAGATTATATAGATAATGAAGTGCAGTAAATTTTTTTTTGGAAACGTGGCTTTTTATTAATTTTTTTTCTTAAACAACCATGCATGGATGTATGTATTAAAGTATTTTAAAGGATTTAAATCTTAAGATATATTTCACTCTAGTATACATCGAGAGAGCATTTGATAGTTTTTCCTTTGAATAACCTTAGTATTAAAAGAGATCTGTTATTTGAACAGTATAGGAAATCTCAGAACATCAAATATCTGGCATAGAATGATTCAAACTTCAGTATCAGTGAAAAGAAATTTAAATTCATCAAGTTATTGTCCATACATGAAGGTATGTGTTGATGTGATAAACAATTAAAGCAGTATATGAAATAAAAACTTACCTAGGAGATATTTGATTGAAGCTTTGTCTGTGCTCTGTCAGAATATACTGAGACTCACTCAGCAGATAGGAAGCTTTTTCCTATTTGAAATGCATTGTGCACTCTCGTCTTGTGATTTCTTTTCCACAGCGTCTTGTTGTTCACTGCTGCTTTGATCTTGTGATATTAGTTGTTTCCAGTTTATTTCCAGGTATCTCCAATATCTGATTTCTTCCACATTCAGCATTTTGTTTATTCTGCCCTAATCAGGTAACAAAAAAGAACCTATGAACTTGGCATCTTCCCCTCCCCACCAAAAAAAAAAATTAAAAAAAAAAAAATAAAGGCAAATGCACCGACCCCAGTTAACTCAAGTATTCAGCACCCATTTAAAAAATCGTTTAAATATTTAGAATCCAGTAAATTCCATCTGTTTTCTGGTGCTATTCCAACACTGAAAAGTTATTTTCCTACATATTTTGGTAGCCTCCACATTTTAGATTTTTGTAGGAAATATGCAGGATCAGTAGATATCAGGTCTTAACTTTTAATCCATGCAATATTATTCTGTGAAGGATGGTGAAGGTCTGCCTCTCTCAGCTCCTTATGCTTCTGTCAGACACAGATGTGAAATGCTGCTTTAGAGCAGAGGGGAAAAAAAATCCCAAAGGGTGTAGTGTTTTGTCATCTCTCAGGACAGTGAGCACGCATGGCATCAATGAGTAGCAGATATGAGCTATTCAAACCAGTCACTGAACTGACAGGATGACGATTTCATACATAATAGAACCATTAATTATTTCTTCTGATGGACAGCAGTATGTACTAGAAGAAAAAAGCAGCAGATGATAATACTAGGTTTGATAGGTTCTCTGTGTTTTAGCAGCTTGTCATCAAGAAACAAACCAGGAAAAAAATGTGGTTTTGGGATATGATCAGGTAAAACAGATGAGAGTTGTTTTGACATGGTGGATGTCATGCATAGGGTTAAAAACGCCCTTCAGCTTAAGGTCTATTCATAGCTACCTTTTTATCAAAAAGATGTTCCAAAAGATTTGCTTTGAAAATCGTGGATTGTGTTTTGCTTCATGTAACCTTTCACTGGGGAAACGTGGCTGTAGTCTTATGGGTTTTCACTTACACCTTAATGTGCAGATTAAGCCTACACATTTGGGTTTTTTGCCCTGCAAAAGGAAACTCTGTGTTTGAAGATGGTGTTCAAACTCACTGCACACTTCATATCAAAGACTGACTCACAAATCCATTTCTAATTAATTTAGAAATGTAAATCGTCTGATTTAATGTTAAGTAACCACTCTGTTAATATGTAAGAAATTATATATATTTAATCACTTTAATGTAGCATAAGCCTTGATAAATCTAAAATATGATGGATAAAATCTTCATTCACTGGTTCAATGTTGTTAGGGGCAATGTATGCTGATTGTGGGAAAAATAATGTGACATTCAGAACTTTTCCTTAGAATATAGTTTCTCTTTTTTTTTTTCTCTTTGGAACCTTACTTAGTGTAAATTTTCTTTGTAAATATGTTGACAAGAAAATGTTTACAATCAATTTTTCTTTTTTTGCCTTCTGTGCATTGAAGGTAAAGAAGAGATAAAATGATAAAAGAAAGAAAACACTACTTTAAAACTGGGCTGAAACATAAACCACATCAAAGACACAGTAGGTGAAGGGGCTACTTCTACTGGTTTGTACTTGTTTGCTCTCATAATTTGCCTTACTTTGGTTTTATTGAAGCAGCAAAGTTATCTTCATCTTTCTTATTACAAAATCATGAAGAGTATCTGGATAAAGCTTTTTTTGGTTTATGGAGTCAATAATGATAACATCAGTAATGCCCTTACATCACATCAAATAACTTTTGGAATACTTTCAGTCTCTAGCTTGCATTCTATCTAGCCCAAGACCAAATCCAAGCCTCGTAATATATGATGGCTGTAACTTTAAATCTTAAGTTGTCAGTCTTGCTCTTTAGGTAAGAAGTTGAGTTGCCAAGGTTACAATGGGTATATGATGTAAAGTCCACGCTGAAAGTACTGGAATGAAACATACTTTCTGAAATAATATTAACACTTTCCGTCTCATGATTTCTGTCCTCAAGCATACAATCCATGCCTGGATATTTCATGAAAGTGCTGATTCTTATGAAAACCTTCCAAGTATTTGGAATCTGACAAGGCACCACCTTTGTATTCTTAGATAATCTTTTGGGAGACAATGCTTGCAAATCCCAAAACAGGGGACTCAAATATCTACTGAGTGATTATCCCCATAAGAAGTCCTGAAGCACAAAATAACTGAGCAGTGTTTTAATACACACATGTGCAAGTGCACATATAGACATACATGTATAAACCCCACTTTTTCCCTGTCTTCAGGACAAGGTTACCTGACTATTTGTATGTTAGTATCAAAAGTATCGAGTATTCTCTTGTCTCAAACCCAGAGATGAGGATAAACTTGGATAAAGCAGCATGTTAAAATTTAGTGGATGACAGTGGTCTTGACATCTTGATATGTAATCTGAGTCTAAGATAAGGAGATGATTGGTGTTAAGAATTCAAACTCTGAAGATGAAGCTGGTTAAAATTTTCAGCCTGGACTACAGCATGAAGAAGAGGAATTGTATTTTTAGCATGGTGTTCTGAAAATCTTTTTCATTTGGTCAAGCTGTAACAGGAATAAGCTATATATATAAGCTTCATGACTAAAGGGGATAAATAACATGTCTGGTAGAGAATATTGCTACTGAAGTAGCAAAAGCTTCAAGCATGCACCACTGAGCACTCCGAAGGTCCTATAGTCTGTCTCGTGCCTGGATATCTACTATATGGCTATCAGTGCTATACTATGTGATTACTTCTTCCAGAGTTTGGTTATCTTGCACTCACAGGATGGCGTGATGAGGGATTCCACGTCCGTAAACAGTGTCAGTTGACATGAAGTTCTCGAACCTCTAAGCTAGGAGTAAGTACTCACAGGGGGCTGACTACATCCCTCTACGTCATTTCATTTGGATCACAGACATGTTGCAGAACTGTAAGGGGGATACTAAACAAGTTTGCAGATAACACAAAACTGGGAGGAGCTGTTGACTCCCTCAAAGTCAGGGAGGCCCTGCAGAGAGACCTACTCAAATTAGAGGACTGGGCAATCACCAACCATAGGAAGTTCAACAAGGGAAAGTGTGGCATCCTGCACCTGGAACAGGGCAACCCTGGATGTATGGACTGGGGAATGAGATGCTGGAAAGCAGTGCCATGGAAAGGTCCTGGTCGTTGGCAAGGTGACATCAGACTGGTGACCTGTCACTAGTGGGGTTCCACAGGGCTCCATCTTAGGTCCTGTGCTCTTCATAAATGACTTGGACTGAGGACTCAAATGTGTACTAGGTAAGTTTACTGGCAGGAGCTGTTCACTCCCTCAAAGGCAGAGAGGCCTTGGAGAGAGATCTTGACAAATCAGGCTGCTGGGCAATCACCAACCATAGGAAGTTCAACAAGGGGAAGTGCTGGATTCTGCTCTTGGGATGGGGCAGCCCTGGATGTTCGTACAGATTGGGGAATGAGATGCTGGAAAGCACAGCCATGGAAAGGAATCTGGGGGTCCTGGTCGATGGGAAGTTGAATATGAGTCAGCAGTGCCCTGGCAGCCAGGAGGGCCAACCCTGTCCTAGGGGGCATCAGGCAAAGCATCACCAGCCAGTCGATGGAGGGGATTGTCCTGCTCTGCTCTGCACTGGGGCGGGCTCACCTTGAATATTGTGTGCAGTTTTGGGCACCACAATAGAAGAAAGACATTAAGCTCTGTGGTGGGGAAAAAAAAGTGTTTTTCCCCCTGGAGTTAAAAAAAAAAAGTAACCCCCAAGACGATGGTGTCTCTCTTGGTGTTGACCCAATCAACGCTCCTACAAAATTTAAACATATCACATCAGACCGGAAAAGAAGGATGATGAGGTAGTTGGAGAAGAGGCGGCCATGTTCTGAAGCCACAAGGAGAGGGGGCAGGAGCCCCGCTGGGGGACCACGGCCCCCCCGCCCCCGGCAGGGGTCATAGAAACTCGGAAACAGTGTAAAATTGGACTGAGGTCTGTGACTGAGAAGCTAGGAGTCTTTCTTCACTGTGAGTGGGCAGCAGAAGACGGAAAGGCAGCGGCAGAGACAGCACTGAGCAGAGGCTATGGCTGAAAGCCAAGAGATAAGAAGCAGCAAAGCCGGCATGCAGCCAAGGAAGACACAGAGATGTCTAATGGAGAGAGAGAGAGAGAGAGAGGACTAAGCTCTATAGAAACAGTTTTGGGGGTAAGAACTGAATCAAAAAATCCCCCAAAACCCCTCTGAGACCTCCTAGAGAGGAGGGGTGGTGGACTCCCACTTGAGGGGAGTCTTGGAATGCAGCAGTACCGGAGAGAGGAGCTAAGAAGCTCAGATGTCCTGGAAGCTGGACCGGGATGGCCAGACAGAATGCAGAGGGGGTGACCTTGCCTCCCCACTGCTGCTGCTGCCAGGCTGGCAGCCTGAGACAGAGCACAGGAGCTCTGATAGAACTCTTGAGGCAAAGACTTTCAACTGAAAGCTGCCCGAGGCGTTCTGACTCAGGGGTAAATTCCCTGAGGAAAGGGACCGTCATGAAGACCCCTGCACTTCGTGATATGACGTGGTGAAGCGAAACTTTGTCCCAGTTAACGCAGTCCACGGAAGAGAGAGACCTTCGCTTGGAGTCGAAGGGCCAAGAGGGGTGAGAGGAGACCCCCTCGTGTGTAATGGAAAGAGAAACTGCTGCCTTAAAGGTGGAAGGGATCTTTTCCTTCTTCCCTCCTGGACTTTTATTGGAGGGAGATTTGATCCAATGTAAATACTGATTTATCATAGGAGAGATAGTTAAGATTGTATATATAATGTATTATAATATTTATTTGTGTAGTGATTGTAATATAATTCCCTTCCCCCCTTATTGAGTCTTGTGTTTTGTCTGGAAAACCCCTCTCACACTGGGGTGAGTTGTGGGAAGGGGGCTTGGACTCGGGAATTGGATTTTAGGGGTCTCAAACCGCTACAAGCTTTTAGAGAGTGTCCAAAGGAGGGCAGTGAGGGTGGTGAAAGGCCTTGAGGGGAAGCCATATGAGAAGCGGCTGAGGTCGCTTGGTCTTTTCAGCCTGAAGAAGAGGAAACTGAGGGGAGACCTCATTGCAGTCTACAATGGCCTTGTGAGGGGAAGAGGAGGGACAGACACTGATCTCTTCTCTGTGGTGACCAGTGACAGGACCTGAGGGAATGGCCTGACATTGCATCAGGGGAGGTTTAAGTTGGGTATTAGAAAAAAGTTCTTCACCCAAAGGGTGGTTGGGCACTGGAACAGGCTCCCCAGGGAAGTGGTCACAACACGAAACCTGATAGAGTTCAAGAAGTGTTTGGATGATCCTCTCAAGCACATGGTGTTACTCTTGGGGATGGTCCAGTGCAGGTCTAATGGTTGGACTCTGATGATCCTTGTGGGTCCCTTCTAACTCAGCATATTCTGTGATTCTGTGATTACTTTCTGATAGCAGAAAAGTTAATTTGTAGTGAGGAAGAGGTCCTGTACTTCTTGGACAGACTTCTGTTTCAGTTCCTACTTTTTTGAGTGTATATGTTATAGCCAAAAACCTCAAAATAACTACTATGTAGCTTTGGTTAGCAACAGGTTGAAACTGCACCTGAAAATCAGATCTAGGGTAAGTAATGCACTTAAGAAATGCTTTAAGAAAAGTGCTTTTTAAAAG